CCCCAAAACCCCAAAACCCCAAAACCCCAAAACCCCATAATCCTTCTCACAAATTGACCGAGTTAATAATTTAGCAACAATATAGGTGGCTAACAAAGATCTCTTCGACTAGAATTTATGCTAACTTCTAAGAACACCCAATTCGAGACGATAGATACCCCATAGGCAACCAGGATTAAGCTCTTGTAACAAATCTCATAGATTTCTTCACTGGTGAATCAGACTAATCCAATAATTAAATGGCTAATTTACCCTGCAAACTTCGATGAAAGGATCAGACAAATCTTTATGATAACTAAAATTTAGCAGTCGGCTCAAGAGAGAGATATATCAAACAAATTATTTATCAAATTAGGATTATTCCGAGCCACTGGCATCCTTCTCCCCTGAGTTCTCCTTATCGGTCTTTTCTAATTCCTTCATAAAGTTAACCATGATTGTCGAATGTGAGGAGGCTCCCACGTTGATGACAAATTTTGGTATGCTTCCTTTGAGATCATTCACAGCAAAACTAACGACCTCAGTCTCAGTGTCACTAATCTTCTTGAGTGTCCAACCAGCGATTATCTAAAAGTTACAAAAATAGGCATACCATATCTCCTCTGACAGTTCCCTTAGGGTTAGTGGGTGCATCTGGATGATCCACGGTAAAGCTAACCACAATAGGCATCTTCTCGGCTAAAGAATTAGGCAGAAAGTACCTTTATTGTCCGGATCTGTCATTGTCGTCTGCACTTGAGCAACCACGAAGTCCCTACCAGAGACCATCAGTAATCCTTTAAACCTCATATAAGCAACGATACAATTCTCCCCAAACTTTTCAAGGATTTCGATCTCTTCTGCATACTGATTAGTATTGAAAGTCTTTTTGTGATCTCCAAGGACATCCAATATGAACTGTGTATTATACGGCATGATTGTCTTTCCATAAACACCAGTATGATTACCTTCTCCAGAGTAAAGTTTCAATTCAACTCCATTTTTAGTAGAGTGTTTCTTCCATTTTTCTTCATTTCTGGCACAATCTTGGAAGAATTGGAGCTTCTGTTGTATAAGCTCCTCAGTAACAATACTGTTATTTAAGATAACAGGGAGATTGACAGCAGGAGGTTCCTCCTCATCTATTTTTTTAGTTCAATGCTAGAGTCTGATTCACAACTCTTCGACTCTTCATCTATCATTCTACATAATGGTGAGGAAATCATTGGCAGAGGTACTTACCTTTGGTTGTTGGTGCGCTTAATGAAGGTTGATTCAGCCCTTTTTCTGTGTCCAAAAACCTTAGGAGCTTCTTCAGACCTGAAAGTGCTCATTGCAGTTTCATTCTCAGCATTAGTATCAGCTATAAGACCAGGTCAGATAGCCAATATTTTAAGCAACAAATCACAAAAATAGGTTCAATTTTTGGCTTTTCTTACATAATGGGTGAATGACTTCTGAGACATCTTGGCCACTATAGGAGAAGAAGTCTTCCAGGTCGTCTCACTTATCACTAATGTCTTCATTCACTGAGTTAGGATGAAGAGCAGAAATAGGCATGCTAGGCGCAACTAAAGATGACAAATATAATCTACCTTGTTTATTAAGAGATGCCTCGATTTTTGTCAAATATTTCCATATCTCCCTCTGCTTCCTCATGAGAGAGCTTATTTTGACATCACGCTTGCGAAGTTGCTCTTGGTGTTCAGTATCTTTAGCAAGATGGAGGTCTTCCATGGCAGAAATCTTTTGGCTTAAAGCCTCTACACAACTATGTTGGGTTTCTCTTGAAGAGAGTTTAGCATGATGCCTAAAAATAACCAATATTCTTACTGATATCATTTTTCTCACTTTTTAGCATTTACACATTTCTGTTCAAAGTGCGTCTCAAGCTGCCCTCTGAGGAGCTCTTTCTGGCCGCAGAATTGGCAGGAAATCTTCACATATTTGCAATGCTTTTCATGAAGAGTGATGTCTTTCCTTAAAAATTTGTCTTCACACAGAGGATAGGCCTTACAGCAAATTTGGGCAAAACCTCACTCTTTATGGTGACTTATTACGTCAGAATAACTTGAAATGTGGCTTCATCCGTTAGCCTTGTTAGAGCACATGAACTCAAGCTTATCCAACTCTTTGAGAATCTTTGGGCATAAAGGTTTTGTTCTGGGTGACTGACACATTTGGGGTCAGCTTCCTACTTCCTGTTGAAACTTGTTAAAGCATTCTCCTCAGTAATTTCCAGAATCAGGCTTGGAAGGAGCATTCTTGGATCAACTCAATCATCTGATGCTTTCAAATAGAACTCAATCTCAAAGATCTCAAAGCATGCTCGATGTGAGAGGCTGAGAGCTCTTAGTCACATTTCTTTTGTTAAATATATTGCTCTTTTTCATTAAGTTAGAAAATATTATTTACTTTATTCAACGTCTTGCTAACATCGTGGGGTTTTGGGGTTTTGGGGTTTTGGGGTTTTGGGG